CTTCAGTGAAGCAGTGGTTGTGCTGTGTTGTTTCCTGAAACCAGATTGATGTGGAGGTAAGATGTTAAATGAGTCCAGGTAATTTTTGATTTGAGAGTTTATCAGTTTTTCTAGAATCTTGGCTAAAATACAGAGTTTAGAGATTGGTCGATAGTTGTTCAGTGAGGTGGGGTCACCTCCCTTCAGCAAAGGAAGATCAAAGGCTGTTTTCCAAGTGCCTGGGATGGAGTTTTGTCTTATTGAGAGATTGAAGATGTGGGTCACAGGGACTGTGATGAAAAAAAAAATAACCTCACAGTGTGATTATTCTGAGCTTCTGTCCACAGAGCAACTCTCTTTTTGGAACAAAGTTTGAATTATGGATTATTGTATCAACATTTATGTTTAATTTGTTGAAAAAAGGGTGGACTTGCCCAAGCAGCCCACTCCTTCTCCGCAAGGGGGCTTGAAATTAGCTCAGACCTCATCGTCGTAAATTCAAGGTTTTCAAAGGCCAGGAATAGTCTCCACACAAAGTGCCCAGACAAAAAGAAGGACTCATTGTGGGAACCAGTGGGTGCTGTGGTATAGTGACCCACATACTTTGAACTCAAAGCCCCTGTTCCCTTTGTACACATCTCACATGACTTGACCACTGCAGCTTTTTCCACTGTCCATCCCATGTGGTGCACCGAGCCACAGCCAAGGGGTATTTCCCATGTTGTTCCACACATCAGTGAAGCTATTCACATATCACTGGTCAATGAATCAACATTAGCAAACTGTCTCAGGGAAAACATCCACATGTGAGATCCCAAAACATTAAACACTAGAACCACATCACAGACTGGGGTCAACTGATTTGAACTCTCCATAAGATGGTGTCCATAAAGCTTTCTAAGCGTCTTAAATATGTTACAGATAAAATGACTTAACATGTGTTAATGGGAACTATCATTATTACCAAATAAACATATGTAAAGGTTTATTAACAATTATATAGTCATGTCTTTTACAGACGACTACAGATGTCTCTTTGCATTTATTATAGATATGTTTGTATTTATTGTACTGTTGTGTATCTGTACTGTGTGTTGTATTGTTTATGCACGTTATGTTCTGTATTGCACCGTGATCCTGGAGGAACACTGTTTTGTTTCAATATGTACTTGTACGTAGCTGAAATGACAATAAAACCTCCCTGACCCTGACTACCTACTCCTGATTGTCAGACATGTTGTGGGCAACTTTTGAAATGATTAACAATTCCATCAGCAGTTTGGTGTTGGGCAACAGTTTAACTCGTTACACCTAGAGACTCAGCAATGAATCTACAGATTATTTAAGATTCTTGTTGCCAGAGACACAGAGACTTTACACACTGTTGAGTTTTTATCTCCAGGATTCTTAAAGCACGGGCATCTCTGAAGTTCCTATGCTTTACTATGCTCATCACATGTTGCAATTTTTTTCCTTCTGTTATTCAGTGCTACCTGACATTCATCTACTCGGAGCTCTAATGAAACTTCGCACTTAATGGCTAAGGCTTAGCTGGACCTCTATATGAAGGAAGCTCCTTTTAGCCATTTATGCCCAAGATTTTGGTAGCTCAATGAAGTCTACGGTAGCTCGGTGATCAGCGCTGCGGTCTTCTAATCCAGAAGCTGTGGGTTCGAGATCAAGTTGTGACAGAAAGGAAACCTGACGTAAAACGATGGCCAAATATGACAGCTCTATGTAGAAAAGAGTAGCCAAAAATAAGAAAAACAAAATGCCCAGGATTTCATTCTTTTGGTCATGATCCACACCTCACGACCACGAGGAGGTTGGAATGTAGACTGAACAGTAGCTTTGTTACTTCTTCACTATGGCATACCAGAGCAACACCTTCATTACAATAAAGACCCTGATCAATTTATCCACCTTCTCCTCCATCTCGCTAACACTTGTAAACAAAACTCACTCCCTGATTGGGAAGGAGCTCTCTACCTATTTCCAGTTGAGAACCAGTCAGTCTCAGACTTAAAGGACTTTATATTCAGCTGCAAACCGCCCCATGCTAAAAGTCACGAATTGAAGATGTAAGCAGAATGACATCATTTGGAAAAAGCAGAGATGAGACTCTGAGATTCCCAAACCTGATACCCACTTTTCCACTAGAGAACTTTGAGATCCTGTTTATGAACACAAAATCAGAAACAAGGGCAGCTTTGGCAGAGTGAGTCTAACCTGCGCTGAGAACAAGCTCAAGTTTGTGCCAAGAATATGAACACACTTCTTGCTTTGGTTAGAAAGGGACCGGATGACCCATAAAAGTGATCCCTATCCCCTCAGACTCCTGCACAACCCTGCATGTTTGAAGGGAACACATATGGAAGCAGTTTCCAGGCCCTGATAATACATATGGACTGGGCACTCAAACTCCCATGATGCAACTCTGCAAGGATGAAGATGTGTTCCACTATTTTTCCAGAATCCAAGGTTACACAATCAGTCAGAGACTCACATCCAACACACTGAAGTAAACTTTCCTGGGGCAGCTGAGTTGTGAGGTCCTTGTTGTACGGTCATGCAACAAGTTGTTTTTTCTAGTTCACATGTACTTATTTCTTGTGTTTTTCTTAGTTGCATAGCAAGAAAACCCCTTGTTGTACACACCAACTACTTATTTTGTTCTTGTGTAGTTTTTGTCATAATAACATATGTATGCTTTTGCTGCCATGAGGGACAGTTGTGCAATTCTGGAGTTTAAATGATAAAGATTGCAATAGAAAAAATGTTGCTCATCATGTCACTCAGCGTAATTTCAAAATTCTGGGGTAAGCCAACGAAAAAGTGTCACGACTTGTCGGGTGAAACACTTTGTGAAATGACACAAGAACTAAAATATTATCAAAAATTAAGCTATAATGGAACATTTGAACTTTTCCTCCTGGTGAGGAGTAATAGCTTTAGTATTTTCTTGCTTGTTTGTTCTTTGTTTTAAGCGAGTCAAATCGATTCTTCTCATCCTGAACATTTCATTGTACTGCTGACCTCGTGTTAACCTGCATGACAAATAACCATAACTTGAACTTGAGGTCATTTTACTGAGTGCACATCCTGGCTTCCATTTTTTTTTTTTCACATCCAGCACTCTCTCCTCTTTCTGACTAAATCTGTTGTGACTGAAGAGCAATCATGGCAGAATAACCTCCAAATAAACAATTAGATGACAGTCTTTATACCTGATCAACTGGTTTGGTGCAGACTGGTAGACACAAACACTTCCAAGAAGCTCGTGAGTCACAGTGTACTTCATGTTAACTCACTGCATGTTGCCAAAGTGAAACTTTTAGTTGTGTGGAACGGAACAGACGAGGACAAAAAGACAGACTGGCATGTGGTGAAAACAACTCGGCAAACAGAAAAACAGTCATAACTCATGCAGTATTGGTGGTGGTAAGATAAAATCTTACATGTCAGTAGCCGAGAATCATCCTCAACTTATACTTCAAGAACTAACTGTACAAGATTTGTTCTTAGAAAGTGGCTGCATGTGTTCTCGTGTGTCATTATTCACTACTTCTCAGTGAGTTTCAGCTCCTGCTCCTCCACCCACAAACACCTTGTCTCATTAGCTCAGCTGTTTCCTCACTACCGCAGTCTTATTTTTTTTTTTTTCAGTCAGCTTGTTTCCACTCAGGTGGCACGGTGGCTCAGCTGGTAGAGCTGTTGCATCTCAGCGAGAACGTCAACGAATCGAATCCCGACCGAGGGTCTTTCTGGGTGGAGTTTGCATGTTCTCTCCGAGCATGCGCGAGTTTTCTCCGGGTACTCCGGTTTCCTTCCACAGACCACAAACATGCATGTTAGGCTGATTGGTAAATCTAAATTGTGTGTGAGTGAGTGAATGGGTTGTCTCTCTGTTCCCTATGAAGGACTTTTGACTTGTCCAGGGTGTACCCCACCTCTCGCACAGTGATAGCTGGATCCACCAGCAGTCACATGCCAAAGTGTCCCTGGGCAAGACAATGAACCCCTCATTGCCTCTGATGTGTGTCAATTGTTGTATGAACGTGATCTAAATCACTGATTAGTCTCTTTAGAATGATTTGTTCAATTAGCTTTGTAGAGATCTGGTAAAGTGCTGTATGAATGGGTAAATGAGGGCACAGAATGTAGTGTAAAATGCTTTGAGTATCTTGATCAGATAGAAAGGTGCTGTAAGTACTGTCCATTTCCAGTCCATGTGGGCACCAGTAACCCCTGTGACCCAAAAAGAAAGAAGCAGGTCAGATAAGATAGAACTTTATTCATTCCGCAGGAAATTGTTGAAACAACAATTATGGATGGATGTTTCCACTCACCATTGTTGGTTTTTCACCAGTCTGTATCTTCTTGTCTCTAAGTGTTCCTACTGTGAAGACTCCTTGTACCTCCCAGGGACTTCCAGTAAGTTTACATTTGCTGCCTTGTCAGCACGTTTTGATTTTGCTTAATAAAATTGGCTTATAATTTTAACCTCATGTTTGTCTGCATTTTGGGTTTAATTATCCAACTACTACAACAGAACAAGCTTGCATTTAGCTACTAAGTCAATCTTTGAGTAACATGAGGGGGCTATTGAAGTTGTCTACTCATAAAAACAACTTTATGAATTTAACTCTTAATTGGGAGGATTTTTTCCCCCTCCCTTATACTTTAAATTATACTTCACATTGTTAATGATGGTATTATTCCCTGTTATACTTGAATAAATGCTTTTTTTAAAGAAGTCATACTTGTAGCCTGTTCGTAAGGTTTATATTTTGTTTTTGAACCAAAAGTTCAGCACACATACAATCTTGTTGAATTAATCTTTGTGTGATTGAATCACCTTGGCTTCATTTTATCTTGTTTGTGTCTTGTACCACAAGAGACTGTGTAATCTGATTCTCTGGGATTTTTTTAAAGAACCAAAACAAAATGAAAATTAAGAAATTGCTTTATTTAAATGCCTTCTAATCAAAAACTGATAAGGACACAAATATTTCTCACCAGTAACAGAAATCAGGGGAAAAAAAACAAAACAACAATCATTCGAATTGAAAAAGTGATTTGTTTTGAATCAACTTAATGATCATGCTTCTTGTGATTCTATTTTCTGGCTGGTCCTGAAGTTGGATCAGACGTACTCTGGTCTCACTACAAATACGTAAGAGTACTTGTCATCAGGACAGGGATAAGCAAGGACTTGGGTAATATTTGTAGCGACGTAAGCCAGGTCGCCTTTGAACCCTTGAATCTGACAGACGTACTTGTTCTGGCACACCAGCAGAAGGCGGTTACGGAACAAAACGTTACTCTCAGAGGAATATTGGTAGTAGAGAGTCAGCTTCACTGCAGGAACCGACTCACACCTCAAACCATTGTTTGAACACTCACTTTGACTTCTTAAGACTCTTGCTTCCCAGTTGATCACTTTGTCCTTAAACAAAAGGCTGGGGTGGACAGGTGTTCTCAACGTATTTATATTGTAATAGATTGGATTGGCAGTTGCGTAACGCTCATGCGTGTTCCAGGAGTTGTACGATGAATATTGGTTTTGAAATGGGTTCGATGGGATTCTTTTCAAAGGTTTGAGAACAGTGCTCCAGGTCTCAGAGGTGTAGATCCTGGGCTTGTAATCATCACTGTCTTTGTTGAAATTTGGATAGGCTGAAATATTACTGAAGAGTAAAACATTAAACTGAAATGCTTTCAGAATGCTGTCAAGATAGGTGTCCTTATGAGTCTTGTACAGAAGAGAGCTGGACTCCAGGGTGTACAGCTTCTCAGCAGAAATCATGGGGAAACGAACGAGACGCAGCAGGTCAACTTGGGTTTCCAAACTGGTGGAATTGGACTTCTCTGTGATCCATTTTTCCACAGTTTGAAGCACAAAATACTCATCTGGTGCAACCAAATCTGAGCGGGTAAGGAGGGCTTGAAGGAGCTCCACAGGAAGATCAGACCAAGCTGGTGACAATGTCAGGTTTTGGTAGTTCCAGGCCATGTACTGGATACAGTTTTCCTGAAGGATTAAGTCCTCAGTTTCCATTGCGTATTGGTAAAGTGAAAGCTGGGTGTTAAAGGAAGAGTCATCAGGGAGAATTTTAGAGAATAGCCGACCTAGATCTTCCATCAGCTGCTTTACACCAAAATCTGAAGCCAGCTGATGGATGCACAGTGCAGACGAGAAGGTCACATCAATCTTACGGGTGTACAGGTACCTGTCAAGAAGGATGGGGTTAAATATTTGTTAGAGCCGTACATGTTTTGGAGCAAAAATACTCAACGTCTGATCCATCATACCTGATAAAAGGGACCAGATGTGCTTTACAGGGCTTTCTCAGTGTGACTGTGGTGGTGTTCATCTCTACAGAAAGGCTGAAGAACGGGAGTTGCTTGAGGATCAATTTGTGAACACAGATCGTCATCTCAGTCGTCTCTGGAGTGCCATTCTCCAATCCATTTGGGCTTTCAAATACAATTAGGTGGTCACAGCCAAAACCACTGTCAAAGATTTCACCGAGATCATCTGAGAGGCTGATGCTATGGTCCACGGAGAGTGAAGAGTCAATAATGGTCATATTGTCTGAAATTACATATTTGGGATGAAGGTTAGAAAACAGAAATGTCAAATTTTGCTGACAAAGACTATTGCTATTAAGTTGTCTGGATGACTTCCACATAAAGTTATATTGTGTCTTGTGTGCATTTACTTACTTCCTGTTTCACAGATTACTCCAACATCCTCCTTATGAGTGCAGTCCGTAACTCCCAAACCACCGAAAGAACAAGTCAGAAGCTCTTTCTCTGTGCCTTTACATTTGATTTCATCCAGCCAAATTGGCCCAGTTGCTAGAATGATTAATAAAATAAAAACAGGGAATACATGAAAACTAAGTTGAAGTAGACTCAACAAAAAAGTTACAACTCCTCCATCTGGTGGAGTATACATTTAACTACAAGGCACCTTGCCCATAGTCCTTCCCGACCACAACAGATTTGGCTCCAGGGAATTTGAGCTGACGACACACCACCTGGGCCTCAGTCATGCCCCAGTTATCGTCACACACTGTTCCCCATTTTCCATCGTGGTAGACCTCAACACGACCCTCTGAAATGCTCTCAGTACCAAACAGCCTCACGTCACCTTCTACTGGCACAGAGTTACGTCCTGTGAACACAAAACAAGGCCATGTTGACACAGTAAACACAAATCTACACAACCAATAGTTCATTCTGAGCCAACAGATCATAGTCAGAGTATGGTCAGACTACAGTAGAGTTACAGAATAAAATGCATTGTTGAATTTGTAACCAAAGGATTTTTTCCCCTTGCAAAATGAGCAGCCATTAGAAAACTCACTGAAAAGATCGAGTCTGTATGCCGATCCTGACACGAACATAAGAAGAAGCCAACCAGTTTGTAGATTTTGATGTGAGATCATCATCTAAATGGTAAAATTGCAATATATGAAAAAAAATAGAATGTGAGAAATGGACAGTCTGCAGATATTTACAGTGTTAAAAGCACTTGTGTTAAAAATGGTGTAAAAATACAACACAGTGCAAAAGTCTGAAATATATTTTGATTCTAAGAGCAAATTATAAAGACTTAATCTTGTAATGTTTGTCAATTTTTTTTGTTTTATGCCGGACTTTCAGAAAGCCTTAAGAAATAATGAACAAGACAAATTCAAAAGAATATAAGAAATTCTGGGTGCTAGAAAGCAGAGTATACTGTGCATTAATAAGAAGTGGTTTTAAACTTTGCACAGTAATGACTTTTTCCATAGCCATAAACTATAAACTGCAGTGTTTGCTTGTAAAATATTTAATATTTATTGCAATGCAACAATTGTTCAAACTGAGAAAAAAGAAATGTGGTGCTATAATCTAACACATAAAAACACGTACCTTCTTTTCTCTGATATAGAACCTCCAACAAATGTTTGCAGCACGAACCTCACTCTTCTAAAGTCGACCCAACTATAGGAGGGTGTTGAATATTTTCTGTAGTTGAAGTCGTCTACTGCCACTGCTTTCTCATAGTTTCATTTTACCATGAAATGAAAGAAGTGGTTGCGCAACCGCTTTTGAATCAGTCCAGACTTGTCTGAAAGAAGTGTGTGGCTTTTGACACAAAATGACGACTCAGAAAATAGGGATCAAGATTTTACTGCGAGTTTCCCTCAGAAAACACAAGCATAAACAACAACAAAATGCAAACGGCAAAATGACTTCTTTAAAGTATCCTTCCAATTATAATGAGACAAAAGCACGTGTCCAGAGTGTTTAACATTAAACAAACAGAAAAGAGTGTAATGTACATGAAAATACATGTTGGGGAAAAAGAATAACTCACAGTTTCATTTTTTTTTGTACATTCATTACAAATAAGGCTACAGTACTGTTAAACCCCACAAACAGGTTTGTCAAGAAGCCTCGACACTACAAGACGGCACTGCGGTCTTTCACTTACAGATCAAAAAAGAAGACCTTATTTTCCAGTCTCAGCTTTAAATTCATCAGTGCAACAACCCTTCGAGGGTTGGAGTAATGCATTTTCCAGGAAGCAGCGAGTCCAGAAAATCCAACAGTGACTGGATTGTAAACAAACTAGAACCACAGTGCAGTGGCCTTAATAATGATTCTCTGGCTTTGACCCCCTCTATATAAACTCTATACCCTCATATTTCACATCACCGATCTTAGCTTCGGGTAAAAGAATTCGTCCATCAAGTGTGAAGGCTGTGATGTACGTTGCAATCTTTCCAGCATCCTCTTCCGATTTGAGCGCCAGAATGATCTGGTCGTCTGTGTTGGGGACAAACTTGAAGGAGGAGAAGCCATGGGTGGGGTTGTGTGGCCCAACGCGGCTCACTTTGATGTCAGTGAAGTCCGCCAAGCAGCTCAGGACAAGGTTAGTTCCACGTCGCTCATCTGCAGTCTCCTCGTAACGTTCTTTGCTTGCTCGACGAGGGAGGAAAAACCAGCGCTGCAGGTTGTCACTCCAGGCTGCAGATTCATGAATTAAATAACCTGCCGAAAGGAATAAGGAAGAATTCAGAATGACATAAAACCCACGGAAAGAAAGTAGGACTGGTTGCAAAAATTCAGCTCAGATATGCCTCCTTACCTGGTGGCTCGATCCCTGCTGCCAACTTCAGAGAAGAGTACTTGGGAACCCAGTTCTCATGTTGCACATCTCCCCTGAAGCCCACCACTTTCACCCACTCTGGGTTGTTGTTGACAAACTCACCCTGGGTGGTGGTCCACTCTTTCCCCAGGCCACCAACGTACAGGTGCTCATCCTTTACCGCCAGCCACTCGGCTTTAAACCCTGCCAAGAGAAAGCACAGCCATGTCAAAGTGATGAATTACAAGTAAAAGTCTGTCAAGGGTTTCAGTTTTGGGAAATGCAAACCTTTTGCAACACCCCCATCGCCGTCAGGTAAGATAACCCAGGGAACGGCCTTGTTTCCATCTATCTGGTAAACTACACCAGTTCTGTCATCCACAGAGTAGAGCTTTCCGTTGAACACCACCAACTCAGACAGCTCCATTCCTCTGCCTTTCTCCGACAAGTGGCTCTCCAGCACCACCCTATCTGTGTCCCATTCCACCGCTACCTGGTCGCCACTTTGCGACACCAGTAGGTAACCCTTGCGCATGTAGCTGAACCATGTCAGCTTCTTGTCACTCTGAGAGTTCGTGTCCAGGTCCGCGATGACTCCGATGCGGTAGCGAGTTCCCTGCGGTGTGCGTTCAGGTGGACTGAGTGGGTAGGTGTCGTTGTACTGGGAATCAGACTGCTTGGTGCTACCGCAACTGAATCTAATGCCGTGGGGGACGTAAGAGCGGGAGCCTGAGCCGAAGTGCATGAAGAGCAGCAGGACCAGAGCCAAGGAGAAGACCACAATCACAATGGACTTCCACTTGAGGCGGAAACGAGGGTCGGTGGTGTTGGCCATGGAAGCCAACATAGGTAGACCACCTACAGAGATACGAAGTGGGTTCATAGGCTCATTCTGTTCCAGTCGAGTGAAGCCTGGGGGAGCAGGCATGGAGGACAGAGGCCTAAAATGACCTATAAAAGAAAAAGAGAAATGGTGATTAACCTACTTTCAGACACTCTTTCATTTAATGACTAGACCAAATGTTAGTCGTGTTTAAAGTGCTTGTACAAGACAGAGACAGACAGGTTATCCAGTGTCACCATTCAAGTTTTACAAGCTTCATTTTTCTGTCTCAAAAGTCAACCCGCAGCTGGCTGGGCTGGGCAGTCTAGTTCACAATCTTGTTTGTATAATTGGAATGTCATCAAGCTGTTACACCTGTGCAGAGGAGTTTTAACAAACTTTGATAATTACAACTCATAAAAGAGAGTTAAAGCATTACTTAAAATTGGGTCACAATTAAAATGTTGTGAAAGCTGAAATGAAAAAGGTCAAAGTTTAATTTCTTGTTAACAAGAAATTCACTTTAAATCTTTCCTGGAAACTTATGAATAACTCTAAAACAGATTACTTACATCATATGCCTCTTATCTCCCTCACAACCTTTGTCCAGATGGCAGACAAATCCTGTATTTTATCTTTCTTTTCCCTTGCAAATGAAGGTTCTTTCAAGTGTGTGTGTTAAAGCATGAGTAGAAACAGGAAGAAAACCCATCTGGAGGTGGAGTGAATACCAGACAGACCAACGTGCTGCTTCTACGTACAAGGTGAGTGAAAGTAAGGAAATCACCAGCACTTTTCTTGACTTTGTACGTTTACACTTTTTATTAATCGTGGCCCCACCTCACACATCTGAGTGAATTCCTGCAGCTTAAAATTATTATTTAAAATGTGAAAAAAAAAAAAAAAATGAAAGTGGCATCTAAGCTGTTTTTGTAGTTCAATTAAAAAAATAGAGAATTCACACATGAAAATGTATAAAATAGAGTTCAAAAACTAATAAATTAATGTTTTGATCTCATAAAGCTGTTGCTTCAGGTTATTTTGTTGCCAAGCATGACATTTTCTTGCATGTATTTAAGTTAAATATGACTTTCTGAACTCTTAAGATGTCAGCAGTAGATTATAAAGTTTTTGCCTGTGTTTGTTCTGTTAGCAAAATATCACAAACCATTGGACAGGTTTTAATGAAACTCTCAAACTAATGAAAAACTATATAACTATATTCAACTAATTGCATGAAAACTACAACTGATTAACTTTTGGAGTCAACCCCGTTCATGATGGCTACCACAGCTAAAAAAAAATGGCTACAACTCAAAATATTGGGCTATAATTAAAAGTGGTTGTAGCTGAGATTCGTTTTTGAGCACATTTTGTGAGACTTAACATTTGTCGATGTCATGGTTTGACCAAAACAATTAAAAGTACATTCTTAGTTTAAAACTCCGGCATGAAAGTTAGCGAGTGATATGCAGAAATATTGGCCTTTTAATCTTAACGTGCATCTCATTTGAATAGGCCATTTTAATAAACAAGAAATCTTTACAGATATTTTGAAGAATTTCTGCTCCGTCTCATATTAAATCACTTCAATATGTAAATTAGTACAATTTTCAAACTACTCTTTTACTCTTAGCCTTATTTGTGGGTTTTATTTGACTAATAAATAAATTAAATAATCTGTCAACCCAGAGGTTCTTAGACACGCTAGTACAAATTTGAGAAAGTTATTCAAGTACACCATTTGCTGCTGCATTCAAAAATAAGTGGGGGCCTTCAGCAGAGTCAAAAACCACAAGAAAACTTAATCCATCTGCAGCCGAGCAGTCCGAAGCACAAGACCTGTGTAAGATCACCTCTAGTGAAGCTCGATTCAGGGCCTGAACACGAGGTGCATTTTTTCCCCAAAGCCAGACCAAGATGTGAAAGACCCTTTCATAAGATCCAAAAAAGCAGTCCATTATGTCAGCGCCATCAGGGCTCATGCTCCGAGCCCACCTTTACAAACATACCCTCCACTGAAACTTTTTTTATTTTTATTTAAAAAGACCAGATCACCTTTTCGTCTCCTCCTTCCAGAGTTCTTCGCTTGAGCCATTAAAACTTGATCACAAAAAGACCCACACAATCAGCTCCGAGCTCCAAACTCTAGCTCGGCTCACGGACTATATGCTGCGTAACCATGACTAGCTGTTGTTTCAGTTCATCGCCTGTGAACTTTACCTGTACTTGGAAGATTACCATCCAGCTCAAAGGGGACAAATCAGGAGACCAGCCCTGTTCATTGTATCATTTACTCGAGTAATCCATAAATTCACAGGGATTAAGGAAACATTTACGACCTGAACAATTACGCTAAACAGGCGAAAGGTGGAGACGCCGCAGGAAGAACGGAAGTTAAATGGAAGTGCTTGATTAGTGCAGGAATAGTGAATTTTACATATCAGTGGGGGTTATAGGGAGTGTGTGTGAGCAGTGTGGGGTCATAGATCAAGTATAGCACACGAGCAATTCTAGAAACTAGTAATACACAGAAACATGAAGGTACTTTTGACTTGTAGTAACAAGTAACAAAGTTCAGATCAAGATTACTATTGATTAAAATGTACACTATTCAAATGAGATTTCTTGCCCTAAATTAGCTTTGCACCCGTTCTGCTCTGTGGGCAAATTTGGTCCAGATCAGTTTTCTAAGAACAAAACACTGATTTGTTCACTTATTATTATTATTATTATTATTATTTTTTTTACAAGCATCAATGAGTTTTTCCTAAACCGTCTTACTAATTTCAATTCAAATACAATTCAGTTTATTTATATAGCTCCGAGTCACAACAGAAGTCATCTCAGGGCACTGAACAGAAACATTCATATATATATATAAAAAAAAAAGAATAGGTTAACAAAGACATTCATAAAAATAATAATTTAAGCCAATTTATCTGTGGAGCAGACTGCCGTCACAGAACTCTCATCTTGAGCAAGTATGAAGGCGACAGTGGAAAGGAAAAACTCCCTCATGAGGAAGAAACCTTTAGCAGAACCAGGCTCAGGACAAGCGGCCATCTGCTTCGACCGAAAAGTACATAAAAACTAATATAGACCCGATAATTAAACTTTAGAAAAAGAGTTATTAGATTAATAAATAGCACTAGTTTTTTTTTTTCTACAAATCTACTATTGATGAGGTCTTCCGCTTTAAAATTTAGAGATTAAATATTTAAGAACACTAGTAGAAATACTATATGACACAATACTCTTCCTCACTATAGTCAGAGGTTTTTTAACTTATGGGAAATGAATTATACTTCCTTTATTGGTCCTT